CCTTGCTGAAACCTAGGGAGATGGAGGGACATGCTGAAACCTAACATCTGGGGACACGGCTGTTTATTCCTGCGTCTCCAGTGCCAGCTTCCACTGGATGAACCAATCTACACTCACCCACTTACCTCTGGTTGTAACAAAGCCTCTCCCCGCCCCTCCCCCCCGGGCTTTTTCCTTCCATCTCCACCCGTTATTTGTTTATGTTAAATTGAAGGAAATGGATTAAAACTAAATCACAACTTTGTGAGCGAACTGAAAATATTTGATTGCAGCCTATTTAAATGGCTTATGATAGCCATACTAACATTACTATTGTAATTTCTGAAGCCTATAGGGCTATGTCTACTCTGTAATTAAACACCTGCAGCTGGCCCATATCAGCTGACTCTGACTCATGGGACTCGGGCTAAGGGATTGTTTAATTGCAGAGTAGATGCTTTGGCTCTGGCTGCAGCGCAAGCTCTGGGACCCTGTGAGAGGGAAGGATCCCAGAGCTTGGGCTCCAGCTTGAGCCCAAGTGTCTACACAGCAATTAAACAGCGCCTTTGCCCGAGCCAGCTGACAGGGGCCAGCCGTGGGTGTTTAATTGCAGCATAGACATACAAAATCAGCTGTGTCTCTTAGGGTAAGTTGTTTTTCTTGTAGCACACACTTAATACAAGTAAAAAGGGTTACACCATGTGTAGTCACTGAAAAGTTAGAGCTCAAGATCCTTGAAAGAGATCCCTCAGTCACTCTGGGGTGTAATGTAACATTAAAATAATCCCATAACCATGGTAATCCAAGCTTCTGCATCACTTAAACCTAAAATGCCAAGTGCTATGTATCACAGATACAGAATACGGCACAAATGATAGCATAACACTTCTGTTAGCCACCACTACAGCAGAGTGAGTGGGGTACACCTGCTTAACCTCACATGAAAAATCACTTGTCACATTTTGCAAATCATAATTTAGATAGATTTGGATTGGTAAACATGGTGACATGAATCAGCACATATCCCCCTCCTCTTATAAGCTATGAATCTGTTATGGCATAACAGATACCTGACCTCCTCTTCACAGTTGAAAAGATGTTTAATGAATCACAAAAATGTGTGCTTTGCTAAACTTCACCTGTCTAAAATGAAAAATGGCACATGCAGGATGTTTGGTTCATATACATCAGCCTATTAATATGAATGTTTAAATCATGTACTAACTCTTTTGCTCAGTGTTTTTTGCTCTGGTTAAAAAAAGGAGGGGGGACTTTTTCAGTAGAGTATTCAAGAAACTGAAAGGGACACACATGAGAACCAAGTCACCTTTGAAAAAGAACTGAATCAGGAGTTAAATTAAAGTGCTTAGGATTCAATCCTGTCTTCCACAACAACCGGATTATCTTATAAAAGCAACAACTTTAGTAAAGCAGCAATTACTTTAAAAATAACTAGTAATTGCACTATAGTATTCCCTTACAGTGCCAGGATTCATGACAGAGAAAGTGATCAAAGCAAGGTGCAAATCTGGAAATGGCTCTTTGGAAACAAGACGGCTGTCAATAGTACAGTACCCCAGAATTGTATTAGTTTGACATCTCTCTTCCTTTCAGTTATTCTTTTCCCTGTGGGGCTCTCCTAACTTGGGGACTAAATCTATTGGACCTAGGCAAAAAATGTCTACTGTATGGGCCAGTTTTTAATATGGGCTCCTTTTCTGCACCCACAGATTGTAGATGACATTGATGTCATTGTTTAGATCAGAGGTGGACAAACTATGGCCTGCAGGCCAGATCCAGCCTGCAAGCCATTTTAAGCCAGCCCATGAGCTCCCACTGAGGAGCGGGGTCTGCGGCTTGCCCCGTTTCGGTGCTCCAGCTAGGGCACTAGGTCGGGGGCCGCACCACACGGCTCCTGGAAGCAGCCACATGGCCCCGCTCTGGCTCCTATGTGCTCCAATGGGAGCCTGCAGATGGGGCAGCATGCAGAGCCACCTGGCCACGCCACCACATAGGAGCCGGAGAAGGGACATGCCACTGCTTCCGGGAGCTGCTTGAGTTAAGCTCCGCTCAGAGCCTGCACCCCTGAGCCTCTCCCCACACCCAAACCCACTGCCCCAGCCCTGATCCCCCTCTCGCTCTCCAAACCCCTCGATCCCAGTCCAGAGCACCCTCCTACAAACCTCTCATCCCCAGCCCCCCCCCCCGGAGCCCCCCCCGCCCCCCCCCAGCCCGAACCTGCACCCCTCCCCCTGCACCCCTGCCCCAGCGCTGATCCTCCTCTTGCTCTCCAAAGCCCTCAATCCCAGCCTGGAGCACCCTCCTACACCCCAAACTCCTCATCCCCAACCCTACCCCAGAGCCCTCACCCTTTCCCGCACCCCAACCCCAATTTTGTGAGCATTCATGGCCCGCCATACAATTGCTATTCCCAGATGTGGCCCTCATGCCAAAAAGTTTTCCCACCCGTGTTTCGATGTACAGCTACCTGAATTTGCAACCACAGTCAGCTGCTTAAGCATCTAGTTGTGCTTATTGTTGCAGGTTCAAGGAAATGAGGTCTATTGAGGACCTATTTAAATCAGACCCTATATCCACTCCATTTTGCAGAACAGAATAAGTAATGGAAGCACTGCTCTGCTAGGTGCATGAGACTAAAAAAAAAACAAAAAAAAAACTAGTTTCTTGCATACAGGTGAAATTAACCCACCTTATTCTTCAAACTGATCACTTCATTTACAAGTTAATTCATTTTAAATAAATTAATGGCACAGTATTTCTACATAATGCATTTTTAGTTTAATATAGAGAAAGTGTGTTTATTTCATATATGTTAAATGGATTCTTCAGTGTCTGTTGATAAGGCTTATTATAGTTTCCCCCTACTTTTTTCCTATTAGCTCAGGCTCCATTTTTACAGCCCGGTAGTCCTTACTACTCTTAATGGGTCCAGTTTGATAACCTAGTAACTGGAGGAGAAAAAAACCTAATCATTTTTCTTCCATACTTTAGCTAGCCTGGAAAAGCCCAGGGAAAACTTTGCTGTCTCCCTTCTCCTCCTAACGTACTGCATTGTGAAGCCAGTGAAGTGATCTACATGAGAAATGCTCTAGTATTTAATTCCTAATCGAGGGTAACGTGATGACCCTTTCCTTCAATTCTCTCACCATGTTTATTAAACCAATTGAGCAAGGAAAACTTTTCCTCCACTTCTTCATCAAATTAAGCTCTGCTCACCCACAGAAGTGTTATACTAATAGTTATTTTCAACAAATAGGACCAAATTTTATGTTGGCATAACTCCACTGAAATCAGCACAATTATGTCAACAAAGAATGTGGCTCTTATTTAATGACAAACTTGGTTTGTCAAGAACTTAGTTCTATAGAATCTTTCCTTTTGACAAAACAAGCATTCAGGAACTCTGAGAAAACATGCTTGAGAAAACTATAGCTCCCAGTTTTACCAGAACAGCTCCATCCTTTATAGATGAAATAGCCCCATCACTAGAGATTTACAGAGTAATAAAGGACCACTGAATCTTTAAACAAATCTGTTATTATTGGGCACTTAACTAAACATTTAAATATTTAGCATCTCATACTGCATCAAGGCAGTTCTAGTTTTATGTAGTCCAGTGTACAGACTATGGAAGTCTACCTAGTATACTTTATCCTGTGCATTTTTACAGCCATGAAGGTGCAGTCCTGATTCCTGTAAAAAGCCCCAATAATTGGCCTGATCACAAAGAAGCTACGTGAAGGCCCAAAATATGTTCCTCTCCAGCTAAGTCAGAGTATCAAGGGTGCTGCTCTGTGACCTGCCACACACTGGCTATAGTAGACTGCAGCAGCAACATGCAGGGAGAGGTAAAAGTGGTCAATCCACATAACTGCATGTCCACCAGGGATGTCACCAAAGCATTCTTCTGTGTTCTGCATGATAAAGCCCTTCCAAAGTAGAACTTAATATTCAGGGGCTGCAGATGCTTACACTCATGTGCAGTGGCATACCACTAGTCCCACTGCCTTTTCAGCAGCACATGCCTGCTGAAGGAGAACAGGATAGGAACCTGGTGAATGGAAGTCTTAAAACGAACAAAAACAAAAACAAAAACACCTCACTACCAGTCACTTAACTAGCTTCATCAGGAATTGCAAAATTATCCACTAACCTCCAAGACAAGGATGCTAAGAAAGTTGGGTGTCATCTTATGTTGCTAGCATATATTTTTTAAATACTTGCCGCATGAAGCTGTGTCTTCATTAAATTACAGCATTTCAGAACTTATGAATACACTGGTTTAGGCAGTGCATATTTCTTTAAAAAATAATCCTAATTAGAGAGTCAGGACAGGAGAGTGGAGAGCCATCATACCAGGGAAAAATTAAACATTTTCAATATGCCACCATTATTTTCCCAACACTATGGTAAAAGAGAAGATTGGAGTTTCTGTGCTGCAAGATCACCCTCCCTGCCAGAAGTTGGTCATGCTCATGGTGCGTGGGGGAGGGGAAACCCTGTTTAAACAAACATAGATACTCATCAGAAACAGCAAGTAAAAAAATCCCACAATTTACATCTAAACTGATTTCTACTCAATGTTGCTTCAGATGGAGAAACACCCCTTAAAACAACTAAATATGAGAACCTATTTCTTGGCCCTCTTGCCAGGGTCTGTGATCCTGTAACCAGATACTGTTCCATTTACACTGCAAAGATCATCATCAAAGGCTCAATTCTGCAAAGCACAGAGTATCTTGAACTCCTACCGATTTCAGTGGCAGTTGGGAACACTTGGCACCTAATGGAATAGCGCCTTAATTACCTCCCTCTTTAGAGAGACTGCAGCACTAAAGTAGATTGAGTTGCTCTGACTGAGTTTTGAAGACCCAATTCCTACCTGAATTATAGGTTGATATAATCCTACATTTACAAAAGCTGTAAAGAGATTAGTTTTTTTAAGCATAAAACAAACTTCTGTAATCCAAATATTACTAGCTAAAAGGAAGGCATCTTACCTTAAAGCATCAAAGCTGTCATATGATCCAACTGTGTAGTGTCTAAACAATTTCTTTGTTCTATCCGTTCGAGTTTCTGCGTAAAGATGGAAGATACAAAACTTTTAATAATACTTCTATACTTACAGAATGAAAAATAATCTAGTGCTCTTTTTATTTGTAATTTGAAAAACAAATTTTATTTTCTCTGTTTTATATTAATACAAACCACTGGGAGTATCTCAAAGTATGGTCTCAAGTGCTTCAGGTGAGAAAAATATTTATTTTGCAATTGATAAAATATAGATATTCCACATCACTCATACACACTGAGTACAAGATTAGTAGTAATTTTTCTTCGAGTGCATCACTTACAAGAAATTTTCCTTACTCAGAAAGATCAGATGTTGCAAGTTACTTGACAAAGCTGTCCACATCTGTAAACTCCTGACAACCAATCTTAATCTGATTTTTCCCCTAGATTGGACTATAAATATCAACCTCCTTTTGAGGAGGAGGAGGAGAATGCAAAATAGTAATTTTGGACTTTGGGACCACAATCAAAGCCATTTGAATAATTCATAACTATCAGTAAGAAAATGGGGGCAGAAGAAGAGATGTGTGTGCTCTCATCCATCATTGCCAAACAAATCACAAAAGAAAACAACATCATCAGTGTAGAATTTGTACCCTCTTTACATCTATAAAAGGGAGAACACTGTTAGAATATAAAAGGACTTAAAAAGGGAGGCAGCATAGCAATATAACTGCCAAAAAGCCATTTGAAAAGTCAGCCATGTTACACCTTGGGAGACACTTTTGTGAAAAATATATAAAACCTACAGACAGGGGTGGTAGCATCAAACTCATCTTCAAGACCACAAGCTCTTTTTTCAAATAAATCCCCCTTCCACTTTTCCAAACCCTATTATCACATTAACATTGGTTTAATGTTGATAAAAGTTTAAGAAAAGATTTAAATTTAGCATCACATATACAAAATAATGTGTAGCTGTTCTCTGAAGATGTACAGTAAAACCTATCAATAAAAAGGAGGTTTTTTAAGTACATCAGGAACATCCTAAATTGGTATTGGTCCATTACTAGATGGAAATTGTAGAATTATCAATAATAATGCAGAAAAGATAAATGTTCAATAAATATTTCTGTTCTGTATTTGGGAAAAAGGTGAAATAATCATATATGATACCACTTTCTCCATTCCACTAGTATCTCAGGGGAATACTATACAGCATCTCCTAAAGTCAGATATTTTAAAAAATCTTGCACTCCAGGGCTCTTAAAGGGCTGGCTTAGAAACTAGCTGGACCATTAATGTTGATGTTCAAAAAACCTCGGGGCACTGCAGAAGTTCCAAAAGTCTGGGGGGAAAAAAGCTAATGTTGTGTCAATATTTAAAGAGAGTAAATGGGATGACCAGGGTAATTATAGGCCTGTCATCGATCCTGGGCAAGATAATGGAGTGGCTCATAAAAGACTCAGTTCATAAAGAATGAAAGGAGGGTAATAATAATTAATGCCAATCAACATGAGTTTATGGAAAATAGATCCTGTCAACCTAATTTGATACCTTTTATGAGATTACACGTTTGATAAAAGTAATAGTGTTGATGTAATATAATTAAACTTCTGTAAGGCATTTGAGTTGGTACCACACAACATTTTGATTAAAAAAAACTTGAATATAAAATTAACATGGCACACATTAAATGGATTAAAAACTGGCTAAATTATAGCTCTTCAACATAATTGTAAATGGAGAATCAAGTGGGTGTGTTTCTAGTTGGGCCCTGGAGGGATCGATTCTTGGATATTTAACATTTTTATCTATGACCTGGAAGGAAACAAAACCATTACTAATAAAGTTTGCAGATGACAAAAATTGATGGAGTGGCACAAATAAAGAGGACGGGTCACCAATATAGAGGGATCTGGATCAGTTGGTAAGCTGGGCTCAAGCAAATATGTATTTTCATATGGCTAAATGTATACACCTAGGAACAAAGAACATAGGCCATACTTACAGGATGGGGGACTCCATCCTGGGAAGCAGTGACTCTGAAAAAGGTTTGGGGACTGTGATGGATGATCCAGCTGAGCACAAGCTGCTACCGTGACACTGTGGCCAAAAGTGCTAATGCCATCCTTGGATGCGTAAACAGGGGAATCTTGAGTAGGAGTAGAGAGAGCATTTTACCTCAGCGTTTGGGACTGTTGTGACTACTGCTTGAATACTGTGCCCAAAAGAGCCACAAGAATGATTAAGGAATTAAAAAACATGACTTACAGTGATAAACCAAATAGACTGAACTCTGAGTCTAACAAAGAGATGGTCAAGGGATGATTTAATTAGAGTCTATAAGTACCTACGTGGGGAACAAATATTTAGTAATAAGTTCTTCAATATACCACGATCCAATGTCTAGAAGTTGAAGTTAGACAAATTTGGACTGGAAATAAGGCATACGTTTTTTTAAACAGAGAGGTTAATTAACCTTTGGAATAAATTTACCAAGGGTCATGACTGATTCTATATCACTGACAATTTTTAAATCAAGATAAGACGTTTTTCTAAAAAGATACGATATAGCAATTATTTTGTGCAAGTTCTCTGGCCTGTGTTATACAGGAGATCAGACTAGATAATTAAAATAATCCCTTCTGACCTTGGAATCTATCACCATTTTGGGGTCTGAAATCACATGTGATCAAAAGGAAATCTCATAGCTTAAAGTTCTAAATTAGGGATCCTGCAAAAAGTATCAACAAGCCACACCTGCAGAAGAGCTGCAGCAATCCCTAGTGCCTCCATTAGTTTCTTTCTAACTGAATGCAAGTCATAAAATATTCAAAAACTACCAAAATATGTAATTAAGAGGTTAGGAAACTCATCTTTGTGGAGAGAATATTGGGTAAGTGTTTATCTGTTGCCATATTTATTTTCAGAAAGAACAAAAATATCTGTATGTAGTTAATTTTTTTTCTCCAAAATGTCCACAACTCTTGGAAACTACATAACTTCCAAGGAGATCTCTAAAATAAAACAAAATTTTAAATGATCTAGAGAATGGGACAGCCTATTCTCCAGCCTTGTGCAGAACAATGGTAGCTGTTTTCTAAGCAATGAGAGATTTATTTATTTTTATGGGCTCCGCTCAAGAGGGCTGGGTCATTTACTCCTGCATACAAGGGCCACTGTGATAGTCCACAGCCAGTCAGCATAACCTACTAAAAAATCATGTAATGGAATAATTGTCAGGATGACATTTTGAGATATCAGGTTACAGAGCAACTTTAGAGTAGAGTATTCAGCATGGTTATTATCCCCAGAGTACGTTGGGTTAGTTGCCAATTCCAAATAAGCCAAATATCTTGGAAATGAAACACTTTTGGGTGATTTCCAGTCACTACAGTTTGGTTTGGGAAAAACCCTCAGGTTTCCCTAAAGTTGTCCCTAAAACTACCACCACATTACAGTGACTTGATAATCTGTCACCCAAATTCAATACAAGAGTTTCTGTATAACCTGAGACCACCAAGTCTTCAGTGCTCACTAAGGTTGCTTCATACAGCCCATAGTTAACTAATAGATGAGGTTTCCTTTTCAGGAAAGATTGTCCTTGATATTTGTGATCATTTATTGTACTTAGACCTGAGAAGACACTTTAGTCAGGTTTTATTTCTGTACCATATTAAAAGTAGTCAAGGGCTAAACTTTGACCAAGGACTGTGAGCACAAATGCAGAAACTACAGTTCCTGAGAGCACTTACTAGGTGGATTAAGCTTTGATTTAAAAAATGCTTTTCAAATTCAAACTATCCTAAAAGTTAAAAACAATTAAACCTATACACAGCTGCCTCTGCATTTTGAAATTTATCACACTTTTAAAAACAGAAAAAGGGGTGAAATAGATTATGTACACAAGTGGACCAGTTCACAAGATATGTATGAAAAGTAGGCCATAAAGAGATAAGAAAAGTTTCATATAAACAGATGACCAGATTATCCCCTTCACCTGGAATAGTGACAGAGGAGAAAATCTCCCTGGCTCTACAGTCCCCAACAAATTGTTTTGTTGGGGCCTGGTGTTTGTCTCCTCCCATGTCAACATGAGTTGGTGGTTCAGACGACAACTCATAGATCTTACTAAAGCTATATGTATCACCCTCATCCCAATGGTCCTTTTACCTGCCTCTGAAACTAGAACCCAGAGTGTAAAGAAGGCCTCACTGAAGAGTAAGAGCAAGCTACTATATTAACTTTTCAGTGGGATTCACCACTGGTTCCTGTGTGTGAGAGGAGCATGCAAGTAGTACACTTCAGGCTCAAACATGGCCCAAAAAGCTAGCTGAATGGTCTGGGGATGGAGGTAGGGAGGAGAATCCTTGAGGAAGATACACTCCCCTTTCACAGAGGAAAAGCTGTGAGTATAGCCTACAAAATAAACTGCCCAAAGCTATAAGGCTGGATTTGAAGTGTATTGGTAATAAGCTACAGGTATGTACCATCGGAACAAGAGAAGACACTATTGTAAGGGATGTGATGTTTATGTATTATGCATTTGCCCCCAGGTGTACTTGTTAGCTTATGTAGTTGATGACCTGCAGTAACCTTGAAGACTTCCCCAAAGAACAACTTTGAAGTCACCCACATATATCATGGCCTAGATACCAATGAGCAGATTTCTTTTGGAAACTGTACTGAACACCACAGAAAACCTTAATTATATAAAAAGGTAGGTGAGACTTCATGTGAAATCTATCCTTAGATCCCATTTATAATGTGTCACGGGCTGTTTCAGAAGCCAATTTGAGAGAGAATGAAAATCTGAAAACAGGACAAAACAGAAAATTTCAACACTCTCAATACTGTTAGTTGAGTCTATTAAGGAGCCAGATGCTGCTGCAGGAAGCTATTTTCTACAGCATGATATTGTGGTTCTATCAACATATTCAAAGCAGATGGGAGGAAAGGCGAAATGCAGTAAGACAAATGACATTGTTCAGCTACTCCAATATGTGCGAACCAGCAGTCTATTATTTTCATTTTTGTGCTTTCCAATAGCGTATTCACAA